AACTGTCATACGTTTCCTCTTTTCTCCACTCCCTTGATTAGGTTCTTACCATCTCTCACCTAAACTTCTGTTACAGTGTTCTAATGGAATTGCCTAACCCCATCTTCCACAGTTATCAGAATGATCACTCTAAAAAGCAAACTTGATCAAAATGTCATTTGATGGCTCCTTGTGACTTAAAGGAAAAGTCCAGCCTTTTGGCCAACATGCAAGGCTCTTCACAATCTTGCTCTGGTGTCTTCCTGCAGCATAACTGCCCATCACTCACAGAGCACATCTACTAGACCATTTTCAGGTCTCCAACACGCCAGGCCCTCATGTCATTCTCTGTGCCTATATTGTCATTCTCCCCATGTCTACCTAACATAATCCTTCTCATCTTTCAAGAACTGACTTACATATAACTCTCTCTAGAAGCTTCCCTGACAATCCCTCACATTCACCCTGGACACGGGGCTACTCCTCTGTGCTCCCATAGCTTTTAATTACACTTATCATGTGACATCACAATTTATGGTTATACATGACAGCCCCTTTTGCAAACAATAAGTTCCCTAAGGACAGGGACCATATGTTGTTCATCTCTGAATTCCTAGCTACTATCTTGCATACAATAAATATGGAATAATTACTGACTGACTAAATAAATGACTGAATGAAGAATAAATTAGAAACCCTATAAAATGATTTATTCTACTGGGTGCTAGCAAGACATTGAATCAGTGTTTCCAATCAGCTACATATAGTGATATTTAAACATTTTATTTCTAATAAATATCCTGAAAGTAAACCGAGCCAATATATGGATTAACTGTTCCATCCTAACCATCATACCTGTTTCTCTTTCCTATTTTTGTACACATTTCACTGTCTTTCTTCTGGCCTTTCTGAACTCTTCTGCCTGTGGTTTAGGCTGGCCCATAGTACCCCCTGCTGATTTTGCTCCAGCAAAAGCAGTAACTGACCTCTGACGGAGGACATCTATTACCAGGGCTTGTTTGTATATAGTCAGAGTATACTACCACCTCTTTGATATGATGCCAGGGCACTGAGATGCCCACTGCCACTAACACAGTCCTCTCTGCACCTAACACTTTGCTTCCCTTGGTTGAAGGCTCTGATCCCCATCAGTCTGCATTCTGAAGGTAATTCTTTAATCTTTAGAAACCATTAGGAACTGGAAGTCTTCCCAGCAGAAAGTCTATACAGGGTGGGAGACAGACACGTGACAGACCTCTGAATCCTTTCATTGAAATGCCCTCATCTGCACTGCACACCACATGATAAGAGCTACTTGGGCTGTGTGTTGGGATGCCACAAACACGCTCAGGCTCTTATTTCAATAAAGTGACCATTCAGAAAAGGCAAGAAGCTGAAAATTTCCATCCGTGCAGGGTTATTAAAAAGTCAATATTCCTTAGAGTGGAATGCATGCTAGATTCCTTCAAAGGAGAAAGGAGAGGCCATCGGGCAACTGAGGGATGTGGGATGGGGAAGGATGTGAGAAGAGGAACCAGAAGGGGAAAAGAAATGAGAAGCTTGGAATGCACTTGAGAAACTAGCGTTTTCTTTAGTGTATTGGGCTGGTCCTGGGAGAGGCCACAGTGTTAATATAAGCTATCACAGAGACCAATCTTCAGACAGGCAGTCTTAAAGGAAGAGATTAGAGAGAGAAACTACAAGGCCAGTCCACTTGCAGCCTCCTTCAGACCAAAGCAGCACCAAAATGGGGACATCTAAGACTATCAGTGTTGCCCGGAGCACCCAACCTTGTTTCACAGAACATGTCATCCGAAGTAACAAAGGAAGGTCTTCTCACCCCAAAACAGGTCTACCTCTATAGTCAAGACATGTTATACCTCATTTATGGGCAGGGTCCTGACCCCCATGGGAAGAGCTTCTCACATCTTTATTTGTATACTCCCCACCTTGGTTCAGCCATGTCTTGTGGATTATTTGGGGATAGGGAGGACATGATGTGCTATCAAGGTGTGGTTCATGAACCAGTGCCAATCTGAGAACTGCGTGTCACTGGTTCACAATGAGGGGAGTACAGAAATTGTGTGTATACATTTAGACTCATTTATAGCAATTTGCTAAGACATCCCAGAACTGTATCGGGGCTTTATACTTTGTATGACTTTGCTGTTTTCTGTATTTCATTTTTGTTATATTTTTATATAAGATTCCAATCTGTGATGACTAAGAAATACAGATTATTTTTTAAAAAACCAAAACACTGGTCTTTGACCACAGTTTGTGCCAATACTGCACAGTTAAAATTCAGCAACCAGCATTGGAATTGTGAGCATTTGGAGTTTTCCCTTTGCCACTTTAAAGAAAACCTCACTCTCTATTCCTTCGTTCATCAAACCTCTCTCTACTTCCTTGTGTGACAGGTGCAAACAAAGATGAGTTCCGGAAGAATGCAGGTACCAGATGGCGCGTGAGTTCATGCCAGGCACCCACAGTGTTTCAATTCTTCCCAGTCAGGACCCCACAGAACTGTGCCCATACAAACAAGGAATCTTGCCACAGAACCTATTAGAAAAACTGCTTCAGAAACTGCAATATCTAGTCACTGTTGCCTCACAACACTCCCGGACACCTGACTCCTGGCTAAGAAAATATTGACAGGTACTGAGTCATGCTATTGAAGTTCAATTCCTCTAAAAGTACAGGCCCCAAAATACACTTAACACACCCAGTTCGCAAAGGTTAAAGTATAGGTGAGAAACACCGCAGGAACCCGATACTGAGTAAAGTACTAGCTTCTGACATGGGAAGGAAGAAGTAAACAACAGCTCCTTCCACAGTTCTGGATGATTACCACCCATGTCACGTCATGAGCAAAGCAGCATACATTTTTATTCTGACATTTTTATTCTTGCCTTCTGAACCATACCTCATCTATGTTATAATAACATAATTATAAAGCCACTGGAAATTGCCAATTTTCTTTCTTCCTGTGAAATGCTAAGTGGTTCCCACATCTCATTTCATTTAATCTCATAATATCCTCGTGAGGCAGCTCTGCTCTGATTTACAGATGAAACCAGAAAGACTCGTCTGAGGCCACACAAGGAATGCAGAAAATAATGAAGATATGACTTGGGGAAGCTATATTAATAGCCTCAAATTGAGGAACAGGGGAGAAACACCCACCAGCCTGCATGGGGGTCATGAAGAAAAGCCAGGTAATGAGGGCAGTGGCGCCTCTGTCCCCCAGGCCCTTTGAGATGAAATGCGTTCTTGGGAGAAGGACAGGAAATCTGACCCAGATAAAACTGTGCAGTCAGCTAAGCTGGTCTTCTGACACCCCCAAATCTCCGTTCCCCTTCTGTGGTACTTGAACCCTCCTCCCCTAGTTAGTCAGTGTTCTGGTGTCCCCATCACCCATCAGATTGGCTCTTAGGAGCTGCTCTCAGCTCCTTAATGATGATTCTAAATAACTGTATTCTCACTCCTGGAGTTTCTAATACTTAAGTTCTCATCTCTCCCTATGGAAGGAAATCCTTTATCTCATTAGGGGGATTGCTGGAAAACGGGAAGTCACCAAGGGGAAGTGGTAGGGGTCGATTCTCACTCAATGTATGTGAGAGTCCACACTTCCATTCACTAAATGCCCACTATGTGCTATTGACCATTTTAAGAATTCTACATTTACTAGCTAATTAAATTCTCAGTAATCCTGCTGGAAAATCATTATCATTCCATTTTTATAGTTGAGAAACCAAAGGCCCAAGAAGTTAAGTCACTTCTAACACAAGGTCACAAAATCAATTAGTGACCACTTATTGTTTAACTTCTAGCCAACATGGTTTCTACATACAGAACATTACAAATCATCCCAGAGGGGAAACAGTCCAGCCTACAACCCATGGAAGTGAGTCCTCTCCAACCAGGAGATGGATACTGGGTACCTTAATAGAATCAGTATTCCATTATTCACGTCATGTAACTTTACTCATATTTGGCTCTGAAATGCCTATTGATGCCTACATTATAGACCTTCTCCCTCATGTGTCAACTACATTAGAAATATCCCTGTTCCCTAGGTGCCTCAGACTTGGAAACTGACTCAGTGATTATCCTACCAGCAAATTTGTTGACTTCAGCCCTGTTGTAGACTCTGAATTGAATTGTCTTCACTGAGGAGGTACAGATACAATGCAACTGCCTTCCCACCAAAGGGTAATAACTATACCTCCAAGGGATGAACACCAATGGGAAGATCTTAAATACCTAAAAGCAAATCATCAAAAGGTTTCTGGCAATGTAGCTCCACAGTCAGGTACTTCTTAAGAAGGATGCACAAATGTACATTTTTGACTGGCCAGATGGTAACAGGTATGGAAAACACCAAAAAAAAAAAAAAAAAAATCAAGACTGAAATATTGAGGACAATCTGCATCCTAAAGAGGCATTTACTGAGCACCTCCTATATACCAGGTATTCTACCTACGTTATCACTAACTCTCACTATAGTCTTTCCTGGTATATATATATTATCTTTCCTATCTAGAGTTAAGAAAAGAGACTCAGAGAGGTTAAATGACTTGTCCATCATCAAATGGCTGATAAGTGGCATATTTAGGATTTGAATTCATGTCTGGTTTCCCAGAAACTTGAGCTTCTTCCATTGAACCAGGTTGTACAATTTGATCATAATTCACCTCTTCTCTGAAACGACTATATTTATTTTGAAGTACCTCTTCATTCTACTCTAAAGTGAAATCATTAACACAAATAAAAATAAGCTATTGTTGGTGCTAGAAGAAATCACCCACTTAACATTTTAATTTTATTTAACATTCAGGTTTGTTAGAAATTCTCCAAGTTGGAAGAGTACTGCTCAGGCTTTGTCCACATCAGGGCCCTAAATTCTCTCATACATACTCCCATCACAGTGCCTGTGAGAAGAGTCTGGTGTTTACACTCATAGCACACCAAGCCATGAATCCCACATCCAGCGGCTCTCCCTGTGAGCTCTACCTTACCTTGGGCTTGCTGGTGCTACATCCTCTGGCTCTTCTAGAGCACCAGTTAGCTCTGGGGGAAGGATAGCATCTTTGTTGACGTTATTCACCCAGCTTTCCTTTGCCTCATTTGCTCTGTCCTTACTCTGCTCAGCTGAAAGAGGAAACAATAAAGACAGAAAGGTTATCCCTCACCTCCATGACCTACAACTCTTATAGTAGCTCTTATCACTGAAGCTCAAACTTGAACCTCAGGCCTTTCCAGAGTGCCAAGGCAATCACTAATGAGTCTGAGTATCCAGGGTCAGAATTACATCTGCAAGTCAAGTCAATAGATTCTCATATTGTTAGCGTCCCTCAAGCAGAATCTCCTGAGAGCATGATTGTACATTTAAATGTGCAGGTAAATCCAGAGACCACTACAGCAAAATGCTGACCACCTCTAAGTAGATCTGACCTCAACTGGGGACAGGACTAAATATGTATGCCAGGGGAATTCTCTGGTCAGTGAGTCCTCATTGGAACAGAGACACCATCATTACCAAGCATTTACCAAACATCAACAGTGCCTGACTTGAGGTTGGGCTCTGGGACCCAAAGGGAAATAAACACTTATCATCTGGAATGTTCCTCTCCACTGCCTCTTCCTTCCCCCAGTCTCTACACATCCAAATTCTACATACTCCTCAATACCCAGCTCAGATGCCAAGGCCCCCCAAAAAACTCTGTGTTCCCTATTCAGGAAATAACTTCTTTTTGCCTCTGAACATCAGATCTCTTCACCAGCACCTCTCATAGCATCAACCAAGTACTAAATGCCAGACACAGTGCTGAGTTTTTTGCATGCATTTCCCTGTGAGGAAGGAGTTTTTTTCCAAGTTCACAGGTTTGGAAATTGAGGATCAAAAAGTTCAGGAGACTTGCCTAAGACCACAGAGCCAATAAATGCCAGGAATGCTTATACATCAACGTTAAGAAGATGAAGCAGGGGCGCCTGGGTGGCTCAGTCGGTTAAGCGTCCGACTTCAGCTCAGGTCACGATTTCGCGGTCCGTGAGTTCGAGCCCCGCGTCGGGCTCTGGGCTGATGGCTCAGAGCCTGGAGCCTGCTTCTGATTCTGTGTCTCCCTCTCTCTCTGCCCCTCCCCCATTCATGCTCTGTCTCAAAAATAAATAAACGTTTAAAAAAAAAAAAAAAGAAGATGAATCAATATAAGGGCTCCCAATTACCAAATAGTCACATTCCAGGGTGGTATTCCCTACAGAGTCTCTCTACACATAAGTGTAATTTCTTCAATTGCAAAACAGAATCCACAATAGTAACTTGTACCTATCAAGAGTTCTGAAGGCTGGGATGGTTTTGAAAATCAAGAGGGATGCGAGCGACACATGGCATATACTCAACAATAAGCCTTTATTTGCAAGGAGTATGACTCTGAGTCATAAAGAATGAAATCCCAGTTCGCCATTTGCCAATGATACAACCTTGGACAAGTAATTTCACTTCTCTGAACTTTACATGTCCCATATATAGAACGGGGATAATAATACCTACCTTACAATATTGCTGCTATAGTTACAAATATAGAGAGTAAATGCCTATCATGTATTAAATGATCAAAAGGTGAGAGCTGTTTTCCTTATTGTGTACAGGTTAGATCTACACAAGGGCTATTCTCAGGGGTAAAAGTTTATACTGTCTAGTCTAGAGTGAGAGAGAAGGCACACTATAAATGTTTAATAAACCCAACAGAATTCTAAAGCTCTCAAAATACTGTCTTTACAGTCTCTTAAGTAATACACTTGGTTGATTAAAGAGGTATCAGATGTTAAAGTTGTTGAAAGAGATGCTAGTCTCTTTCTGTCACCCTACTCAAAGGAAAAGGTTCTGAATCTTCTGAGTTAAAAGCCAAAAGGAATGCAGGGGTAAATGCCTTATAACCCCAACTCTTGGGGCGCCTGGGTGGCTCAATCAGTTAAGATCCTGACTCTTGATTTCAGTTCAGGTCATGATCTCAAAGTTTGTGAGTTCAAGCCCCATGTGAGGCTCTGTGCTGACAGTGCAGAGCCTGCTTGGGATATTCTCTCTCTCTCTCTCTCTCTCTCTCTCTCTCTCTCTCTCTTCCTCCCTCCCTCCCTCCCTCCCTCCCTCTGCCCCTCCCTTGCATGTGCATACTCTCTCTCTCAAAATAAATAAAATAAACCCCAACTGTCTATACTACTACAACTCAATACAGTCTCTAAAGGACTTCCCATGTTTTTCTACATTACCCTGGGTCACTGAGCCCTGCCTTCATCCATCTGAATTCAGGGAAAGAGGATTTTGAACTGGGGGACTACACATTATGCAAAGCACACCTCTAAATGACATCCCTCAGCAGCTTCCAGTAAAGATTCTAACACCCTTCCCTTCTCTTGACAATGCCTTCCCCACAAATGCTGGCTCAAAATGTACTACCCAAATCAACTCACCTGCTACCTGGAGCTTCTTCTTTCTCATGGATGCTCTGATGATATCTGCACCATGAATTCTGTCTCTGTGCCTTTTTGCCTTGGCTTCATAAAACCACTGGCCACTCATATTCTTCAACTGTTGGTCATCCTTAATTTTTTCAGGCAAATGTCTACAAAAGGAAAAGAGCTTTACTTTGCTGAGAGCCCATGGTAAATAAATGAGTTTACTGTGACAGTGCATAAAGAAATTTGTAAACAGAAAGACAAATAAAGCTCTCAATAATTTAGAAGACCCCACAAACCTCTTAGATGACTAAGAAATATATATTCCTCTTTGAATGAAAAGTCGAGAAAGACAAGGCTTACACTTTTTAAAAATCAAAGATTTTATCCCTGACCTCCACATGATGTCTGGAATTTCTCAAGAACAGATTCACTTTTGGGCTGTGGTCTTCTGTGTCTACTGTTCAAATGCAAACACCCCAGGGAAAGATGATATATTAAGCATCTCTAAGCTTTGGTCCCTTTAGCTGTAAAAAGAGGTTAATCATACTAATCTACTTCATGGGATTGCTTTGAGGATTAAATTAGCTAATGCATATAAACTGCCCTTTGCAAATGCCTGGCACTTAATACCCAATGAATAAGTGGTGGTGTAGTTATCAGCTCATCAATCCTTTCCATTTCAGTGAAATGAGTTTTATCAGAGACTTTCTGTGGGGGAAGTGCATGATGTCTCTGGGTCTTAATGCTAGGGAAATGAATGCTGAAAAAGCAGGCAGGAGGCAGGCAAGATCAAATTTAAGGTAGGAGGGGGACAGGGAGTAGAGGCAGAGGCACAGCCAATTGTGCAGCTACTGCTTTCAAGGGTTCCATGATCACTCATGCTCACTGAAAAGCTAAAACCTATAGAACAAAACAAATGCAGCCCTAAAATCTTCCTAATTTACTCACTTGAAAAACACTGTTCTACTTTACAAGTCTTTTTTTGTTCATCATGATAAGTGTATTCTTTAATTCTCATCCCCTATTTCTCCCACCACCCCCCCCCCCCATCCCCTCTGGTGACCATCAGTTTGTTCTCTATAGTTAAGCATCTATTTCTAGGTCTCTTTTTTCTTTGCTCATTTGTTTGTAAATTCCACACGAGTGAGATCACATGGTAGTTGTCTTCCCATGACTGACTTATTTCCTTTAGTATTACACTCTCTTGCTCTATCCCTGTTGTTGCAAACAAGATTTCTTTCTTTTTTTAGTGGCTGAATATATTCCATTGTAATACACACCACTTCTTCTTTATCCTTTGCCTATCAGTGGACACCTGGGTTGCTTCATAGTGTGGCTGTTGTAAATAGGTTGTAATAAACATAGGGGTGCATATATCCCTTTGATTCAGTGTTTTTGTATTTTTTGGGTAAATACTTAGTAATGTGATTACTGGGTGGTAGGGTAGTTCCAGTTTTAATCTTTTGAGGAATCTCCATACTGTTTTCCACAGTGGCTGCACCAGTTTGCATTCCTACCATCAGTGCAAGAGGGTTCCCTTTTCTCCACGTTTTCACCAATACTTGATGTGTCTTGTGTTTTAATTTTCACCATTCTGACAGGTGTGAGGTGATGACTCATTGTAGTTTTAATTTGCATTTGCCTAATGATGAGTGATGCTCAGCTTGTTTTCATGTGTCTCTTGGCCATTTGGATGTCATCTTTGGAGAAGTGTCTGTTCATGTATTCTGCCCACTTTTTAGTTGAATTATCTGTTTTTGGTACTGAGTTGTATCAGTTCTTTATATATTTTGGATACCGACCCTTTATGTCATTACCAAATATTTTCTCTCATTCCACAGGTTGCTTTTTAGTTTGTCTCCTTCACTGTGCAGAGCTTTTTATTTTAATGTAGTCCCAAAGTTTATTTTTGCTTTTAATTTTCTTGCCTTAGGAGACATATCTAGAAAAATGTTGCTAGGGCTAATGTCAGAGAGATTACTGCCTATGCTCTATTCTAGGATTTTTTATTATTTCAGGTCTCACATTGAGGCCTTTTAATCCATTTTGAGTTTATTTGCATGTATGGTATAAGAACGAGGTCTGGTTTTGTTACTTTGCACATGGTTGTCCAGTTTCCCAATACCATTTGCTGAAGAGCCTTTTTCCCATTGGATATTCGTTCTTCTTATGCTGAAGATTAACTAACCATAAAATTGTGGGTTTATTTTTGGATTTCTTTAATATTCCAGTGATCTATGTGTCTATTTTTATGTCAGTACCATACTGTTTTAATGACTCCTGCTTTGTAATATAACTTGAAATCTGGAATTGTGATACCTCCAGTTTTGTTTTTCTTTTTCAAGATTGTTTTGGCTATTTGAGGTCTTTGGTGGTTCCATGCAAATTTTAGGTTTGTTTTAGCTCTGTGAAAAAAATGCAGTTGGTATTCTGATAGGTATTGCATTAAATACGTAGGTTGTTTTGGGTAGTATAGGCATTTTAACAATCTTTATTCTTCCAACCTATGAGCATGGAACATCTTTCCATTTCTTTGCATTGTCTTGAATTTCTTTCATCAGTGTTTCACACTTTACAGAGTACAGATCTTCCCCCTGTTTGGTTAAGTTTATTCCTAGATATTTTATTGGTTTTGGTACAGTTGTAAATGGGATTCTCTTCTTTTTTTTTTTTTTTCAACATATGAAGTTGGGATTCTCTACTTAATTTCACTTTCTACTGCTTCATTGTTAGTGTATAGGAATTTGTAGGATTTCTGTACATTGATTTTGCATCCTGCAACTTTACTGAATTCATTTATCAGTTCTAGCAGTTTTTTGGGGGGATATTTAGGGTTTTCTAAATACAGTAACATATCATTTGCAAATAGTGAGAGTTTTACTTCTTCCTTGCCAATTTGGATGTCTTATTTCTTCATGTTGTCTAATTGTTGTAGTTAGGATTTCCAGTACTATGTTAAATAACAGTGCTGAGAGTGGACAGGCTTGTCTTGTTCCTGACCTTAAGGCAAAAGTTCTCAGTTTTTCACCATTCAGTATATTGGCTATGGGATTTTCATATTTGGCCTTTATTATGTTGCAGTATGTTCCCTCTAAACATACATTACAGAAAGTTTTTATCATGAATTGGTGTTCTACTTTGCCAAATGCTTTTTCTGCATCTATTGAAATCATTATATGGTTTTTATCCTTTCTCTGATTGATGTAAGGTATCATGTTGATTGTTTTGTGAATATTGAACCACTCCTGCATCCCAGAAATAAATCCCACTTGATTGTGGTGTAAGATTTTTTTAAATATAATTTATCATCAAGTTGGTTAACATACAGTGCATACAGTGTGCTCTTGGTTTGGGGGGTAGATTCCCATGATTCATTGCTTACATACAACAGCCAGTGCTCATCCCAACAAGTGCCCTCCTCAATGCCCATCACCCATTTTCCTCTCTCCCCCATGCCCACCATCAACCCTCAGTTTGTGCTCTGTATTTAAGAGTCTCTTATGGTTTGCCTCCCTCCTTTTCTGTTTATAACTATTTTTTCCCCTTCCCTTCCCCCATGGTCTTCTGTTAAGTTTTTCAAGTTCCACATATGAGTGGAACTGTCTTTCCCTGCCTGCCTTATTTCACTTAGCATAATACCCTCCACTTCCATCCACATTGCTGCAGATGGCAGGATTTCATTCTTTTTCATTGCCAACTAGTATTCCATTGTATATATAAACCACATCTTCTTTATCTGTTCATCAGTTGATGTACATTTAGGCTCTTTACACAATTTGGCTATTGTTGAAATCACTGCTATAAACATTGGGACACATGTGCCCCTATGAATCAACACTCCTGTATCCTTTGGAGAAGTTCCTAGTAGTGCTATTGCTGGGTCATAGGATAGTTCTTTTTTTAATTTTTGTATTGTTGGATTCAGTTTGCTAATATTTTTTTGAGATTTTTACATGTATATTCATGAGAGATATTGGCCTGTAGTTCTCTTTTTTTGTGGTGTTCTTATCTGGTCAGGGTGATACCGGCTTCATTGAATGAATTCGGAAGTTTCCCTTTGTCTTCTATTTTTTGGAATTGTTTGAGAAGAATAGGTATTAACTCTTCTTTAAGTGTTCGGGAGAATTTTCCTGTGAAGCTGTCTGGTCCTGGACTTTTGTTTTAGGGGATTTTTTGATTATGGATTCAATTTCATTGCTGGTAATTGGTCTGTTCAAATTTTCTATTTCTTCCTGCTTTAGTTTTGGTAGGCTATTCATTTCTAGGAATTTATCCATATTTTCTAAGTTGTCCAATTTGTTGGCATATAGGTTTTCATAATATTTTGTTACAATTGTTTGTATTTCTGTGGTGTTGATTTCATTTGGGTCGTCTTTTAGAGGTTTATTAATTAGAGGTTTACCAATTTTGTTAATCTTTTCAAAGAACTAGCTCATAGTTTCACCTGTTCTATTGTTTTTTTAGTTTCTATGCCATTTATTTCTGTTCTAATATTTGTTACTTCCTTCCTTTCATTGGATTTGGGTTTTATTTGTTCTTTTTCTAGTCCCTTTAGGTGTAAGGCTAGGTTGTTTGAGATATTTCTTGCTTCTTGAGGTAGTCCTATATTGCTGTAAACTTCCCTCTTAGAACTACTTTTGCTGAATCTCAAAAATTTTGGACCATTATGTTTTCATTTTCATTTGTTTCTATACAATTTTTTATTGCTTCTTTGATTTCATGGTTGACTCATTTATTGTTTAGTAGCATGCTATTTAACCTCCAAGTATCTGTGCTCTTTCCAGATTTTTCTTGTGGTTGATTTCTAGTTTCATAGTGTTGGGGTCAGAAAAGATCCCAGAGTCAAGCCCCTATTTTTAAAGTTACAGGCCTTAAGTCCCACTGGTTGTAAGAAATCACATATTCAGGTCCTCTCAATTTCAAAGGCAAATATTATGGGAATTCATCCTCCATTTTATGGGTTCCCTGTGGGAAAGTCTGTTTTCTGCCCTTCTTTGTGCCACCAGTTTCCTCTGCACCATAGATGGACCTAATCCACTTCACTCCCAAACTGGGCCTTCACTC